CTGCCTCTAACAACCACATCAAAACTACAACTTAAGAGAGACAATATATCATCCAGAACCATGGGAAAGCTGACTGAGTGGAAGTTCTACAACTAGAAGGAAAGAAAAAAGCACAAAGCACATTGAGATTGTAGAGTGTGCAGGTGCGCAGGTGCAGAGGCGCACACAAAACGGGCTGGCAACAGGGTGTGCTGTTGTTTTTTTCAATCGTGAGGGAGATACAAGGTCCCGACTGCTCTGAACTCCAGTTCTGGGTGAGACTCTGGGGACCCAGACTCATATGGGGAGAATCTGGACTGTCTGGCATCGGGCGGGAACACGAGGGCGGCTTTCTCTCAGGGGTGCTCACAGTGATCATTGTTCCTGCACAGGGCTGCAGGACACAGAGACCTCTCCAGGGCAGGACTGACTGGCAGCCATTGCTGTTTGCTCCGCCCTGGTGATTCCCCGAGACCCCCGCCCCACCCAATTTACAACCCCACCCAAGCTATGCACAGCAGCTTTTGCATATGAATGGCCTGTCCTTTTGCAACCTAAAACCTAACAAACTGCAGCTGGGTGAGAGAGCTCCAAAGCTTCCAAAAGAAGGCCCAAGGCCTGGCAGCAGCAGCCTGCATTGCTTCACAGCTGGGCCTCATCTGGGCATTTCCAAACCCCAAACAAAGAGGAGAAATCTGCAGATCTCTCTGTAGCTCCTGCTGGGTGGCTTCAGGCAGTGGCTAACTTTGCACCTCCTTGGAAATACAAGAGCCAGTGTACCCAGTGGTCAGTGTGAGACCATACCAGATTACAACTCTTCACATCCATAAGCGACACACTCAAGGGGCAGACTCAGTGAGCACCAAAGACCCACTGAAGCAAGTCCTGCCCCATAAGGGTGTCTCCAGCACAGAAGTTCTCCCAATGTAGACACAGTTGGTCCTCACAGCCAATTGGCCTGGAGGTCAATTCCTCCCAGTGATACCAACAGCAATCAAGGCTTAACTACAACAAGACTGTGCACACAGCCCACAGAGGGGTGCACCAAGAGTGTCCACCTCAGGTTATTGGGAAGGCTGAGCCACTAGGCCCTAGAGGACACCTAGCACACAAGACCACTCTATCAACACAAGGAAGCAGCCATAATGCAGAGACAAAGAAACAGGTCACAAATGAAAGAAATGGAGGAAAGCAAACTACTGGATATAGAGTTCAAAACCACGGTTATAAGGTTACTGAAGAACCTTCTAGAAACCTCCGAGAAATTAAGACTCTCAAGGATATGAAAAAGGACCAATCAGAATTTAAGTATACACTGACTGAATTAAAGAATAATATACAGAGATCCAACAGCAGACTAGAGGATCCCAAGAATCAAGTCAAAGATTTGAAATACGAAGAAGCAAAAAACACCCATCCGGAAAAGCAAAAAGAAAAAAGACTCCAAAAATATCAAGATAGTGTAAGGAGCCTCTGGGACAACTTCAAGCGTACCAACATCCAAATTATGGGGGTGCCAGAAGAAGAGAGACAGCAAGATATTGAAAACCTATTTGAAGAAATAATGACAGAAAACTTCCCCTACCTCGTGAAAGAAATAGACTTACAAGTCCAGGAAGCGCAGAGAACCCCAAATAAGAGGAATCCAAAGAGGACCACACCAAGATACACCATAATTAAAATGCCAAGAGCAAAAGACAAAGAGAGAATCTTAAAAGCAGCAAGGGAAAAACAGTTAGTTACCTACAAGGGAGTACCCATAGGACTGTCAGCTGATTTCTCAACAGAAACTATGCAGGCCAGAAGGGAGTGGCAAGAAATATTCAAAGTGATGAATAGCAAGAACCTACAACCAAGATTACTCTACCCGGCAAAGCTATCATTTAGAATTGAAGGTCAGATAAAGAGCTTCACAGATAAGAAAAAGTTAAAGGAGTTCATCACCACCAAACCAGTATTATATGAAATGCTGAAGGGTATTCTTTAAGAAGAGGAAGAAGAAGAAAAAGGTAAAGATGAAAATTATGAACAACAAAGTGACAACAAATACATATCTATCAACAAGGGAATCTAAAAATCAAGTGAATAAAAAATCTGATGAACAGAATAAACTGGTGAATATAATAGAATCAGGGGCATAGAAAGGGAGTAGACTGAATTGTGGAGGGGAGGGGGTGTTGGGGTGCGGGAAGAGATTGAACAAAAATCTTACACCTATGAACAAAGACAGTCGGGGGGGGGGTAAGGGCATGGGGTGGGGTGGGAACCAGGTGGAGGGGAGCTATGGGGGGGAAAAAGAGGAACAACTGTAATAATCTGAACAATAAAGATTTATTTAAAAAAATATTCCATTGTATGGCTATACCACAATTTGTTTATCCATTCATCGGCTGGTAGACATTTGGATTATGTCTACTTTTTGCCTACTATAATAATGATGCTATGCCCATTCATGTACAAATTTTTGTGTGGGCATGTTTTTATTTATCTCAGGTATATACCTGGAAGTAGAAGTGCTAGGTCACATGGGAACATTATGTTTAACTTTTTGAGGAACCACCAAACTGTTTCCTAGCAGCTACAGTTTTACATTCCCATCAGCAGTGTATGAATGAGGGTTTTCATTTCCCCACATCCTCGCCACCACTCACTTTGTCTTTTGATTGTAGTCATCCTAATATATGTGAAGTGATATCTCATTGTGGCTTTGATTTGAATGGCTACAGTATCTTTACTAAAAAAAAAATTAACTTGATGTTACCAGTAGATAGAGGATTATATTAGTTGCCATAATAGGATTATGTATTCCTACCCATTGTCATGTGACTTGACTGTGAATCCTGTGGGAAGTCTATATACCTGCCCTTGACTTTGGACTTGACCACATGGCATGCTCTAAACCAACAGAATGTGAGAAGACATGCTATTTGCCACAATTGAGCAGAAGTTTACAATTCCATGTTTCCTCTCAGTTTCTCTCAATCCTATATTCTGTAATATCCTAGAGTTCTGCTCATTGAGCCTACGTCCCACAATCGGAAGACATATATAGCAGAACCCCAGTCTACCTGTAGCCAAGCAAAACCAAACCTGTCAGATAATTGATACCAGTACATTAATTTAAATTTATATATATTTTTATATGCATTAAAGAAAAAGTCTCAAAAGCTCACTAAACTATTGTGTTGATTATATCAATGTATGCATGGATAATTTTCACTTGGTACAATAACTAAGATCTGGAAACAGCCCAAGTGCCCATCAGTAGATGAGTGGATAAAAAAGCTGTGGTACATTTAAACCATGGATTACTATGCAGCAGTAAAAAAGAAGGACCCCTTACCCTTTGAGACAGCATGGAGGGACCTGGAGAGTATTATGCCAAGTGATATAAGCCAGTCAGAGAAAGACAAGTATCACATATCTCACTCATATGTGGAATCTAATTTAACAAAATAGACTGATGAACAAAATAGATCCAGAGACACAGAAGCATGGAACAGACTGTCGAATCTCAGAGGGAAAGGCGGGGAGGGTGGGTGGGTGGGAAGAGATAAAAGAACTTGTATGCAATATATATACATAACCCATGACATAGACAAAAAAGGTGGTGAAAGCTTGGGGTTGGGGGTGGGGCCTCTGGGCAGGGGTCAGTGGGGGGAAAAAGGGGACATATGTAATACTTTCAACTATCAGATTTTTTAAAAGCACTTTGTACATGTGTACATTTGTAGCTCTCACTGAAAATACAAGTTTAAGAATATTAACTTAAAAAGTAGTATCTAGCCTGGTCAGCATGGCTCAGTGTTTGAGCATCGACCTATGAACCAGGAGGTCACAGGTTCAATTCCTGGTCAAGGGCACATGCCTGGGTTGTGGGCTTGATCCACAGTAGGGGGAGTGCAGGAGGCAGCAGATGTATGATTCTCTCTCATTATTGATATCTTTATCTCTTTCTTCCTCTCCTTTCCTCTCTAAAATCAATAAATATATTTTATTTTATTTTTAAAATGTATTTTATTGATTTTTTTACAGAGAGGAAGGGAGAGGGATAGAGAGTTAGAAACATCGATGAGAGAGAAACATCGATCAGCTGCCTCCTGCACACCTCCTCCTGGGAATGTGCCCGCAACCAAGTACATGCCCTTGACCGAAATCGAACCTGGGACCTTTCAGTCCACAGGCCGACGCTCTATCCACTGAGCCAAACCAGTCAGGGCAAATAAATATATTTTTTTAAAAAGTAGTATCCAAAAACAAAACCAAACACAAAAAATACAACATAAACAAAAGAAAAAACAAAAAATATCGTATCCGTTCTTAGCAATCTCAAAACACCCTTTAGCTATATGAATAATAGCTTCATAACAAATTAATTCTTCCCTAACCACCAATATTAATGCAAATTTGCTTAGCAGGTTAAATAGATCTGTGTCATATTTGCCACCCTACATAACACCATATACCCCCTCTAAAACCTCATTTGATCTGAGCCAACCCAATTCTCAATTTATTCCTCCATTATGCCTGGGATGAGACAGGGCTGCAGTTGAAGGCTAACTGTAGGCTAATTGAGAGACATTCTGTTTGGTTGGTGTGGCGTGGTAGTTGAGTGTCCACCTACGAACCAGGAGATCGCAGGTTCAATTCCTGGTTGGAGCATATGCCCGAGTTGTGGGCGTGGTCTCCAGTAGGGAGCCTGCAGGAGACAGCTCATGGATCAACGATTCTCTCTCATTATTAATGTTTCTATGTCTCTCTCCCTCTCTCCTTCTCTGAAATCAATAAAAACATTTTTTTCTTAAAGAGACATTCTGCCTGTGGTGGACAACTTGATTCACTTCATTTACAAACACTACTGTAAATACCATTCCCAGCTATTTTATAAAATACAATATTTCTAGGAAATAAAATATCCCTTCCAATATTCATTTTTACTTAAAAGGAAATTATTAATCTGTCCCAATGAAAAGAAATAAGATGGCAAATAAAAGTACAGTAAACATTAAGATTGACAATACTAGTTTTAAAAATCATCATTAGGATTTATTTATGTTTAATATGTACTTCAGAAGTTTTTATGAGACTATTTATAGTCAACATATCATTTCAATGGAACTTTAAGCAATTACAGTTCAACTCGCTGTAGTATTAGCTTTTCTTCTTTTCGGATTCCTCTGCCAATTTCAACTTTTCTTTTAATTCCTTCTGATCTCTGGAATACTGTTCAAATATTGGTTGAAAAATATATATCCCTCCAGCAATTCCAAGGATGCCAGCAAAAAGCGCTTGTGGAAGAGTCACTCTCCCAAACATGTTTTTTAACAAATGCCACACGGTACAAAGATGGTTCTGAAAAACTCCACTCAGGAAATCTCTTCAGATCTGTGTACAAAGAAAATGGAAAACAAAGCAATTAGTACAAGATACTTTTTAAAGATTTCAAGTCACTAGTTTGTTCCAGAGTGAACAGTGTTTCCTCATAATATGTAAATACTACTTATTGATTTAACTAAAATAGGAAGACATATATTTAGGGAGTATGGAAAATGAGCATTAGGGGATGGTGTAAAAGCTAAATCCTATGAGAGAATGTTCTCAATGGATAATTTAAAAGGGCAGAAGTGAGACAAGGTTGAGCCATATTCTTTATGCCTTTAAGGCATACCAGTCCGATCTGGAAGTAGGAGACAGAGTAATGTTACCTTTCATTATTAGCCCATCTTTACTATCATATTTTTGGCAATATGTATTATTAAATACAATGGTCTTTTAAAACAGGCTAAAAATTGCATGGATTTCCTTTGATGCTTTATTAAGTAGAAGTAGACATCAAATCTAAATCATTTGCCATCCATTTTTGACAAAAATATAACGGAGATTTGGATGGTTTTACTTCTAACAACAGAGGAGTTAAGACTCTGGCACTTCTTGGGAAAGTTATATTCCTTGCTGACATCTTAGTCTCTGGAGAAACTAGGTAGGTGTTTATGAATGAGGAAAGCAGAGTAAAAGTTTTACATATTCCCATTATTATAACAATATTTCATAGCCTCCTAGACCAACCCTGAAGGTCACAAAAATTATTAATGGCAGAAATGATACTAGAAACTAGCTTGCCCTTAATATTACTAAAATGTAATATAAACTAATCTGGGAAAGAAAAACCTGTTTTCTCCTGGACTCTACCATTAACTAGATAAATCACAACGTCACCAATCATACTTTGGATCAATGTCTGCTAAGTGTTAAAAAAAAAAAGAAGAAGAAGCCATTTGCTCTTTGGAAAATCGATAATGACCCTTCTGCCACCAGCTGGCTAACTGACCCTGACCAAGTCATTTTACCTTTTTGAACCTCATTTTCCATATCCATGCAACAGGCTAAGTCATCTTTACCTTGCCTACTCCGTTCAACAGATAGTTATTGTGTGATCACCCAGACAGTGAAATGCCGCATAAACACATTTATAATGACCATTACAGGCATACCTCGGAGATATTGCAGGTTTGGTTCCAGGCCACTGCTGTAAAGGGACTATCACAATAAAGCAAGTCACACAAAGCTTTTGGTGTCCCAGTGCGTGTAAAAGTTGTATACACTATACTGAAGTCCAGTAAGTGTGCAACAGCATTATGTTAAAAAAAAAAAAAAAGATACATACCTTAATTAAAAAATACTTTATTGCTAAAAAAAAAAAATGCTAACCGTCATCTGACCCTGCAGTGGGTCGTAATCTTTTTGCTGGCGGAGGGTCCTGCTTGGAAGTTGATGGCTGCTGACCGAGCAAGGCGGTGGCTGCTAGAGTCTGGGGCGGTCGGAGCCATTTCTTAAAATGCGTGAACAAGGAGGTCTGCTGCCGGGATTGCCTCTTCCTTTCGCGAAGGATTTCCCTGTAGCACGCGATGCTGTTGGACAGCATTTTACCCGCAGCAGAACTTCTTTCAAAATTGGAGTCAATCCTCTCAAATCCTGCGGCGGCCTTGTCCACTAGGTTGATGTAATACTCTAAATCCTTCGTTGTCATTTCCACAATCTTCACCGCGTCTTCCCCGGGAGTAGGTTCCATCTCAAGGAGCCACTTCCTCTGCTCATCCACGAGAAGCAGCGCCTCGTCGGCTAAGACACCGGCGGCCCCACCTTGAGCGTGTAGGTTCGGGAACCGGCTTCTCTCCTTGAACCTCTTGAACCAGCCTCTGCTGGCTTCGAACTTCTCTTCCGCGGCCCCGGCCCCCCTGGCGGCCTTCATGGAGTTGAAGAGCGTGAGGGCCTTGCTCTGGATCAGGCTCTGGCTCAAGGGGATGTTGTGGCTGGCCTGGTCCTCCATCCAGACCACGAGGACCTTCTCCATGTCGGCGATCAGGCTGTTGCGCTTGCGGATCATGCGCGTGTTCAGCGGCGTGGCGCTCTCCCGCTCCTTCAGGAACTTCTCCTTCGCGTTCACCACCTGGCTCACGGTTTGGCGCAGGAGCCCCAGCTTCCGGCCGATCTCGGCCTTCGACAGGCCTTCCTCGCTCAGCTTGATCATTTCCAGCTTCTGATTTAAGGTGAGAGACGTGCGACTCTTCCTTTCGCCTGGACACTTAGGGGCCATTGCCGGCTTACCCGCTGGCCCAGTTCCGATGTCGCTGTAAGTCAGGGAGGAGGAAGTCGGGCGGGAGGAGAGGGAGCCCGCCGGCGCAGAGCCTGGCTGGGGAGCAGCCAGAACACAAACATGTATCTACTAAGCTCGAAGTTCGTGGTCTTCTGTGAGTTTAGTTCTCAGCGCCCCGAAACAATTACAATCGTAACATTGAAGATCACTGATCACAGATCCCCGTAACAAATATAACAACAATGAAAAAGTTTAGACTATTGCGAGTTACCAAAACGTGACACACAAAGTGAGCAAATGCTGTTAGAAAAATGGCGCTGGTAGACTTGCTCTTCACGGGGTTGCCAGAAACCTTCAAGTTGTAAAAAAACAAAAAAAGGAAAGAAAAAAACCCCAAACCCGCAATATCTGCGAGGCGCAATAAAGCAGAGCGCAACGACACGAGGTATGCCTGTGCGCCTACCATTACCCTTCAGACGTCTCCCCCGCTCGCTCCTCACTCCCGGCCACTGACCCCGCCTCCCGCCTGTCCGCGCAGAGGCGAGGTCCGACCATTATTCCAGCGGGTTCTCGGTCCCCGGCGCACAGATCACCAAACCCAAGTCGGCGGCAGCCGGGGCGGAAGGAAGTGCCTCCGGGAAAGTGTGGGCAGCCCTCGGCCAAGTTTAGCCGCCGGGCCCAAACCTGCAGCACCGGGCGGCGAAGCCACTGCCCAGCGGAGTTGGCGAAAGTCGCCCTTTCCCGGCTCCCTCTGCGCCCGCCCGGACGGCAGCTCGCCGAGGCCAAACTTAGGGCGCCCCGAAGCGGCGCGCGCTCCCGGAGCCTACCTCGCGCCGGAAGGGGGCCCGGGACCTGCAGCACCTGCGGGATGGAGCGGGAGCCCGGCGACGGCAGCCTCTTCTTCCGCGGCCTCCGGAACCGCTCCCGCGAGAAGGTGAAGCTGCGGAAGAGAAAGTCGGCCTTGTACCTCGGCCCCCAGGAGAGCTCCCGGCGCCGCGGTGAGTGCGGGGGAGGCCGGCCGGCGCGGGGAAGGGGAAGGGGGCGGGGACGGGGCCCGGCCTCGGAGCGAGGGCTTCGCCTGCTGGTGCGGGGGCAGGAAGTCCTGACCTAGAGCGCTCGCTGCGGGATCCTGGATCCGGGTGCTGCGGGATGGAAGGCCGCCCTCCCCGCCGGGGAAGTGCGTGGGCACGGCGAGGCCAGCCTGTGTTGGAGAGGCCCCGGGCCCCGCAGCCTCGAGGGGCTGGCTCCCGGAGTGCCACCAGGTCCCGCCCGCCTTCGTTCATTCACCGCCTTTGCCTCCGCTTGGGTCAGGATGACATGGCAGGAAAAATCACCCCAGCAAGTTTGGGGGGGGGGGGGGTAATATAAAGATGGACTTCCCATTCATTCAGGGCACTAAATTCAAATTAAAAAAAAAAAATGCTCTGGCCCTGGCCCGTGTGGCTCAGTTGGTTGGAGCGGCCACCCGTACTCTGAAAGGTGGTGGGATTGATTCCCCGTCAGGGCGCGTACTCTGGTTGCGGGTTCCATTCGCTTGGGGAGGGGAGGAGTGGGGGGCACGGGCGCTGTAAGGGAAGCAACCAATCGAGGTTTCTCCCACATTGATATTTCTACACACACCCCTCCTCCCTCCCTCTCTGAAATCAATGAACACATCCTCTGGTGAGGATTTTTTTAAAACCATTTTAAAGAAACCCTCTATTCAGCCTATCGGCTCCATCTGTGGTTAAGAGCAGGGTGTTGGAGTCAGCAGACAGACCTGCTTTGGAATCCTGTTTAGTCATTTGCAACTTTTTTGACTCTAGACAAGGCAATTTATTTCCGAGCCTCCGTTTCCTCATTGGTAAAATGGGCTAATATCTACCCCGTGGCATTGTTTTGAGGATTAAATGAGATAGTGCATGAGGAGGGATAAACTCGGTGCCTGGCATTTGTAAGCGCCACGAGTGCTCTTTAAAAATGCACAGAGCGCCCAGCGGGCATGCTCGGTGGTGGAGCCTGGATCTATGAACCATGAGGTCAGGGCACGTGCCCGAGTTCTGGGCTCCATCCCCAGTGGGGGACGTGATCAGTGATTCTCTCTCATTATTGATGTTTCTATTTCTCCCTCCCTCCCTCTCTGAAATCAATAATATATATATATTTTTTAAATGTACAGATCATTTTATAAGCTACTGTTTGGCACGTATTACAGAGTTGTTTCCTAAGTTAGTAATTTGTTAGTTGGTTTCTTTCTTTACATACATATATAGGCTAACGTAATCCACCTAAGGCCTTAGTTAACCCAATCTCTTTTTCAGTATTTTCTCCTTGTACAGTAAGTTGCGAGGAACGTTGGTTAAATGACAGGAGTGGTGAATCACCCCGTGGAGCTGGGCGAGTGGTGTGGAGGGGTCAGAGTTCACCGCTGTGCCTTCCAGCCTGCGCGAGGGGCCCCCCAGAGCAGCAGATCTTAGGTCTGCAAGCGGAACTTGCCTGACTTTTGCGCCACAATTACCTGTTTTGTTTTTCAGGTCTTCTTGGTGAGAACATTTATCTGGTCTTGTTTACCATAGCATTACGAATATGTAACTGCTTTTTAGTGCAGACAAGTTTTGTTCCAGATGAGTACTGGCAGTCTCTTGAAGTTGCACATCATATGGTTTTCAAATATCCTTTGTATTTTCTTGTCCAGATTAGAAATGTGTATTCAGTTCATCTTGGGAATTGTGTTACTTTCTGTTATACGTTTTCAGTCAATCCTCTATATTTTCTCCAAGTAATTTTAATTTATCAAAGTATGCCATTATTTTATGCTAATATTTCATCTGTATATTTACTTGATGTTAATGTACATGACTTCACCTTTAGCATATATTTCCACAGTGCTCAGAACTGTGGAGAAAATATATGAACTAAAAAACACATTCCTGCCTTGAAGAAGTTAAGAGTTTTGTTGGCCAATTGCATTTTTAATTTAAATATCTAGTATAAAATGCTGTGTTTTAAAGTTGTGTTAAAAAATAAAACAGTTTTATATATGGAAATGATTCAGTGCTATTTAAAATTAGTCCTTAATATTACTAATTATGGTTATTTGACCTGGGAATGGACAGAAAGATTGAGGGGTTACACTTACCCCTTAATCTTTGCAAGCATGTACAAGATTCTGCATCTTTTGGGGAATGATAGTGTTCAGTTGCTGGTAAGTTTAAAAAAAAGTAATCAAAATAGTTCTTAAAAGTAGATTATTTCATCCTTTTTATTTTTTAATGTATCTTGTTGAAAGTATTACAGTTGTTTCCTTTTTTCCCCCGTTGACCGCCTCCACCCTGCCCCTACCCTCCCATTCCATTCTTTTTTAAAGGTTAGTCTATATTAACTAAATGGTATTATTGGTATCATGAAGTTCATTTTTAAAAGGCTACTCTGACCATTTCTGGGAAGCACAGGGTTCCAAAGACGTGCTGTGTCTGATGTAGCTCTTCAATATGTGCTAAAATACAAGACTGAGCATGAAAGTGTCCTGCTGGGAGCAATCCTGTTAAGATTTTCAGAATGATTACATTATATATTAATTATTTGGATCCTTCATAAAGAGTCACTTGAGAGCAGGTTGTATCTTGTTTTTTTTTAACTTGTGAGCTGAAGACATGTTATATGAGCTTATGAAGATTAAATACATATAAACACACTAAGAATTGTGTTGTAATTAAAACTTAGACAAAATCAATTTGACAAAAATTTAATGATATGCACAATCATTGTGCTACATTGTAATTAGGCCTCAATACTAAGTAGGGTTGTAATTCCTGGAACATGAATTTCTGGAGTTATTTGCCAGGAGAGGATACAAAGGAAGAACTAATAGAACACAATTTTCTCCTACCTCATTGTCAAGATCCTTTAAGCTATCATCAAGTTGGACTCAGTACTTGGGGTCTTCCCATTTTCTGTTAGGGAACTACCCCAGAATTCCAAAGGCAGTCCAAATCCTGAGGGTTTGTTTTTTTTTAAGCCTGAAAGACACTGAGGTTCTGGGATTTAAAAAAAATTAAAGGCAGGATTATACCCTCCCCTTTGCAATGATACTTGATTCCCCATTATTAAGAAACAAGGATCAGACCTATGCTTCTCATGGAACTATCCTGAACGGTAGCAGAGTTTCACCGACACGGGTAGAACTTAGGAGCTGTGAATTCTCTTTTCTTCTCTCAGGGCCAACCAATTTTTCATTTTTAAAGATTTGATTGATTTTTAGAGAGAGAAACATGGGTGTGAGATTGGCTGCCTCCTGCACAACCCCACCAAGGATCAAGCCTGCAACTCAGGCATGTACCCCGACAACCAACTGAGCCACACTGGCCAGGGCAAAATCTACCTTCTTTTAAATTTAAGATTTCTATATGACAACCCATGACAACTGATCATGCAGGGTATCCATAAAGTCTGGATATACATGATGTCATCAAGGAAATCTTATATCTCTGGAATAGGTTTTATTATCAATGAAGGGGTCTTCAAGAAAACTTCCTCTTCCTCCAAGCCCTGTTCACTGTAGCTGGCCCACTTGGCCATTTTGTGATTAAGAGGAAACCTCCCCTGGTCCCCATCCACACCCCATGCTACCACCTCTGCCAAAAAAGCAACTGGTAAAATTCCAGGTAGAGAAAATTAGGATATGATCATCAGTCATTCATACTCTCATATTGATTATTCTAAATAAAGGTGATATAATTTTGAACTAGAAGGGGTCAGAGAAGTGAAGTACATAGACCAGGGTCACAGCATGTTTAAAGCAGAGCTAAAACTAGGTCCAAGGTCTACTTATTCACAGCCTAATGCTCTTTACAGATCGCTTCTCTTTAAACTGCATGAGGTGTATGCACAAAATGAGGGATGACTTAGCACTGCACTGTCTGATATGGTAGCCACTAATCACATGCAGTTATTAAATATTTGTGACTAGTCCAAACTGAGGAGTGCTATAAGTATAAAGTACATACTGGATGTCCAAGACCTAGTATAAAATAATATAAAATACTTATAATATTTTATATTGATTAAAATGTTGAAATGATAATATTTTAGATATATTGGGTTAAATAAAGTAACTAAAATTCATTTTACTTGCTTGTGATATTTTACTTTGTGTGGTTCACATTCTATTTCTGCTGGACAGTCGGTGCTGGCTTAGAACATGTGAGAAGAGGGATAAGAAAGGAGATCTGATGGGTACCCCAGCGGGGCTTTGAGTAGTCAGAGGATGGTGCAAGGGCATTTGGCTCCTGGAGCTTAAGGGAGGAATTAGGAGCTTAAAGAACAGGAATATAAAATGGTAAGCTGCCAACACAGGCCTCGCCCTCAAGGTTTACCCCTGACATGTTTTCTCCTCTTTGCCCCACACCGCTACTTTGTATTTTCCAGAAACCATATGAAAGTATCACTTCTTTCTTTTCCGGTCCTTAGCATAACCTGGGAAATGATGGTATCTTAACTGGAAATACTGCTAATAACGGAAATTTACATCTCCAGTTATTTTTGTATTGAGCTAAAATCTACCTTCTTTTATTTTTCATTTTTAAAGATTTGATAGATTTTTAGAGAGAGAGGGAGAGAGAGAAACATGGGTGTGAGATCGGCTGCCTCCTACACAACCCCACCAAGGATCAAGCCTGCATCCCAGGCCATGTACCCCGACAACCAACTGAGCCACACTGGCCAGGGCAAAATCTACCTTCTTTTAAATTTAAGATTTCTATATGACAACCCTTCAAAAAGTTTTATTTATCCAGGATAAACAACTCTAGTTCTAAACCTCATAATCAAATAATGTCCTCTAAACATCTTCTAATTAATATCCATCTGAAAATGTGGATCTCCAAACTGAGCCCAATATTGAAAGCTAGGGTAACTACTTCAAAATAGTATAGTGAGACCATTACTTCATAAATATTCTTCTCTCAGGGCACAAAGTTCTTTTAGTTTTTTAGTGGCTACCTCACACTGTTGGCTCATTAAGTTTGTAGCCAAATTGAGTTTTCAAATGAACTACTTTCAGGCCCAGGAGGTGAGAATGAAGCTTATAGATCTCTATGCAGAGTAAATAGAAGGTATGTAATGGGTGCCCTTTATTGTATTTTATAGGGCACAGTTTAAGTGAAATTATGAAGTACAGCATACTTGTAACTCTAAGATTTACACATTCATTTATAGGTTATTGGCAAAGAAAAGGAATACAAAGCTAAAGTGTTAGATGCCACTGACAACTGAAAGTTAAGCAACTCTAATTATAATGTAAAGTTAATGAAGTTTGAGCCAACAAAAATACAAATCTATATGTTTTTAAAAACATTTTTTAACAAATCATTAAATTATGCTTTACAGCAGTGTTATTTTGATAATGATAACTATGACACATTTTAAAAAAACTCTTAAGATGCTAATGTATAGCATTAGAATTACTATCTTTAATTAAGTTATAATACGGGGTGGCAAAAGTAGGTTTACAGTTGTTCATATGGAAAATCCTATATAATAAAAGCCTAATATGCAAATTGACTAAACAGTGGAACTACCGGTCGCTATGATGCGCACTGACCACCAGGGGGCAGACGTTCAATGCAGGAGCTGCCCCCTAGTGGTCAGTGCACTCCCACAGGGGGAGCACCTCTCAGCCAGAAGCTGGCTCATGGCTGGCAAGCGCAGCAGCAGTGGCTGGAGCTTCTCCTGCCTCTGCGACAGCGCTAAGGAGCAGCGAGCAGGCGGGGGTAAGGAGTGAGGGCTCCTGGACTGCTAGAGGGTGCAGGCCGGGCTGAGGGGACACCCCCTCCCCCCGCATGAATTTCATGTATTGGGCCTCTAGTAATAATTAAAGAATTAACTTTGGGTTTCACGTACTCATAACTGTAAACCTACTTTTGCCAACCCCTATACAATATATTTACTTTTTAGTTTAAATTTGCTCTTAAATTTGCTCTTTAATGTTATCTGAATATTATTTTATTATTTATATTGCAAGATGGGGAAACATTGTAACTTAATAGTTAAGAGCACAGGCTTTGAAGTCAGGGAGACTGGGTTTGAATCCTGGTTTTCACACTAACTAGCTGTACAGCCTTGAGAAAATTACCTAACCTCTCTGTGTCTCAGTTTTGTCATTTATAAAACAGTATCAATTTCATAGGATTGTTAGGAAGACTGAATGAGCTGATACATATAAAATATATACTTAAGCCCTAGCCAGTTTAGTTCAGTGGATAGATAGAGCGTCGGCCTGTGGACCAAAGGGTCCCTGATTTGATCCCGGTCAAGAGCACGTACATACCTCGGTTGTAGGGTCCTGGTCAGGGCTTGTGCAGGAGGCAACCAATCAGTATGTCTCTCTCACATTGATGTTTCTTCTGTCTTTCTCTCTTTCTTCCACTCTCCTTAAAAATCAATGGAAAAATATCCTCAGGTGAGGATTAACAAAAATAAAAATTTAAAAAATTTAAAAATAAAATTAAATATTTACTTAATATGATACCTACCTAGCATACAGTACTGTATAAGTTTTATTAAAAATTATGTATTGTTATGCTAATGAAAATAACTAGATATGCTTCTAAAATAGAACCTTAACACGAAATGGTTTGTTGGCTATTTAAATTAAAATTTGTGTGTGTGTGTGTGTGTGTGTGTGTGTGTAGTGACAGTTGGATTAGCTTGTTGATTTCTTATGATAATTCAGTGTGAACCAACAGATGTTTTTCTTTTTTTTTTTTTTTTTAACTAATGAAGATTTGGATTCCTAGACTTGCCCAAGCACTTCTGTCTGCTATAGCCGACTTGAAACTTTACTCATTAATGAAGCAACTAGAAAATCAGCAAGTAGCAAGATGGGTGGTAAGTCCTCAACACTTTAGAAACTATATGCCAGTTATTTTCATCCCTATGAGCATAAACAATATCGATTCCAAAACCAGTTTCAGAAGATAATTCATACAATTTTATAGAGTACTTCCATAATTAAGAACAATAAAATGCGAATGGCGCACACCATCCCTCTTCTGATGGGACTCTAGGTGGTGGAAGTCACTGATGCCCTCAAACCCTGTGAGGGGGTGAACCTAGGACAGTGATGGCGAACCTTTTGAGCTCGGCGTGTCAGCATTTTGAAAAACCCTAACTTAACTCTGGTGCCATGTCACATATAGAAATTTTTTGATATTTGATATAGTAAAACAAAGACTTATATTTTTGATATTTATTTTATATATTTAAATGCCATTTAACAAAGAAAAATCAACCAAAAAAATGAGTTCGCGTGTCACCTCTGACACGCATGTTATAGGTTTACCATCACTGACCTAGGATATCTCCTCTGGAAGCACCTTCATTTTTCCCAACTGTCAGAGTCCTTGCCTCACCAGAAGGAATAGTTCTAAATCACTGCCTACCTCACAAGTTGCCTCAGCCTTTTATAATCCTGTCCACTATTCCTCCAGCTACCTGAGACTCAGCCTGGGAAATGCCTTTTCATTAAAGCACTGGTCCAGCTTTGGTTAGTGTTTAAAACAGCTGGGCTCTGTAAGGGAGAGGATGTGGAGTAGAAGGCTGTCTTTTGTCATTTAGCTTATTTCACAGAGGGGAGATAGATTCCTGATCTCCCATTCAAACCTTGAATGGATTTTCCCATTTAAGCCATATCCTGAAGAGTGATTGGATGCTGTAGTATTGTTATTTCACTTTGGCTCTTTCCTAAATTAAGTAAGCTTATTTGAGCCACCTAGAAATCTTACTACCTTTTTTGCATTGTTTTTATTGGCAAGTTTGTTCCAAATTCCAAGGTACCAATTAACCAACACAATTCTAGAATATAATCTATATATATAAAAGGTTAATATGCTAAGTGTCCGACCGTCCAACTGGTGCTATGATGTGCACTGACCACCAGGGGGCAGACACTCAACACAGGAGCTGCCGTGATGTGCACTGGCACCAAGGACCTGGCGCCCACAAAGCAACACTTGGTTTCCCCAAAGTGGCACACAGGCCCCACCCCCACCCTGGAGCGACAGCCCACCAAATCACAGCCGATGCTGCCAAGACCCCATGGTGCAAAATGCGGCCCACAGCCCAACCCAGCCCGGAAACGGGCACAGTGGGCACTGGGTAATGATGTCACATAGCAACGCCTAGCTTCCTCTCCCTAGCGATGACTAGTCTCCTTGGAGTTTCTTCAGCCCAGGAACACGACTTGCTTTATAGCCAGGTGCAAACTTTTCACACTTTAACCAAATGTCTGTGAAGCGTTTTCCCATGCCTCACCTCCTTTGATCCTCACAGAAGTCCTGGTGTACGTAGATAGGGGACTCGGTGGAATCCTATTTTCTTCTCATTAGCCAGAAAACAGAGATTTAGAAAGTTTAGAAACTTGACCCGACTGAAAAGAAGAAATGGTGGACCTTGAAAATGACTTCAGGTTTTCTTACTGCGCAGAATATAGTCAAACACTGCTGCAGTTAAATATTTTACCCTTTGTTCTCCCTGCATGATCTACAATAATAATCTGCTTTTTGTTGATATTTACTGCTATGTTGCTGACAATTACCTGAAAGGGAAGTTGGGGTGCTTCACTGGGCTGGAGAAAGTTTAGCTAAATCAGAAAGCAGGTCTAATTAAGCAAGTGTATTCTAAATATATAAAAGGCTATGTTGACTCACGCATGCATGATACATGTAAAGCTCTAGCTGGCGCCAGTCGCACACATGTGTTTCCATCTGTCATTGTCGATTGTGAATTTGGTTACACTTCTATTATAGAGAAAGGGTGAATGGCTATATTAAAATATTTCTTCTAATTAATTTTCTTTCAGTGTGCACGAATCTGTGCCCTGGGCCACTAGTGTATTATAAGTATTAATAAATATTAAGAATTTATTAAATATTAACAGGACATATTTCTTCAGGTAGCATGTTGATTTGCATTAAAAAGACAGATTGGTTTAGCAAATGAGCCCTTGTTAACTGATTCCAGGATAAAGACAGTCTCTATTTTGTGCCTTTATACACTACCAAAGGTTCACAGGATAAAGACAGTCTCTATTTTGTGCCTTTATACACTACCAAAGTAGCAGCACTAGTTTCTTCTAGTTTAGAAAAGGCCTTTAACTCCACAAAAATTGGAAACAATTTTAAAAGGCTTTATTTGAAAAGACAGGAAGTTAGTACACCTTTTAACACCCTTGCATCAACTAACAAGCTTCTTTTAAGATGGTGGTTTTGTAGACTTAATGTTGCTTCTGTTTGCATATTCTTTCAAAAACTGGTTTACTAATTTAATCAATTTTCAAGTTAAAAGTTAATGATATCTCCTGACATGTTTTTTCTCATCTATGTTTTCTTAATTTTTCATCAAGAAATAGGGCAACATTCCAAACCAAGATCAATAAAAACAGTCAATTTACTTGTCAGTATTATATGACAATTTGAGGAATACTGATTAGGACAATATAGTTATGAATCTCAATTCTCTATAAACTATACCATCAAAGAATCTGTATTTTTGTCTTTTATTAGTGGGAAGTGAGATTTAAATAAAATGCAATGCCATAAAAATGTATTTGAAAGTATAAACTTTAACAAATATAGATCTAATATCACAGATGTGTATCTGATATAAATTCTTAGAAACAATGTTTGGTCAGGTCTCCTTTTAACATTACTTCCCTTTTGATGTGGTTTTTTGCAGCATTTAGACTTGCTTGCTATTTTCCATAGAAGATAACACTAACTAAGCTTTTTTATTTCCCCCTGCATGTATGTTTGCTCATAATTGTTCTTAGTTTTTTTGCCAGTTGTGCTCTTGGTTCACATGGTATTGCTGTACCAGAACTCTTACAAACACCATGGAAACTGTTCTCACTGTAATTGCTCTTTTCTACTACCCTTTGGAAGGGTCAAAGTCTATGAACAGGTGAGATATATTGCTGTTAATATACAAAATTCTAAAGCATGCTTTTGAAAAAATCTTAAATATCAACACATTGTAATGTCCAATGGACCCCTAATGTTTATGAAGGTTATTAGACCCACAAATTTTCAATTGATAACATTTATTATAGCAGGAAACAGATATACTTAAACTGGTAATTAAGAGGAGGTTAATAAAAAGACCGTTTACAAAGGTGTAGACAATGTTTAGAAAAGTCAATAAGGGGATACCATAGTGCACCAGAACTAGTCTCTGCAGGAAGTTTCTATTACCCCCTGGCCCCAAGGAGCAAGGAGAGGAAATGTTACGGAGCTGAAACTTTGAGAGGGCCCCAACAGGAGACAGGCACAGCCAGCCTTTAGCCATTGCAAGGAGAGAGCTGGGAGAATAAAATACCATGACTTAACTCTTCTGTCCTCCAATTAGCCAAAGCCAATTAAAAAGCAAAATAGCCCATTGATAGAGTCCATACGGGTCAGCCTCCCTGCACATGGAGTAGGTGAAGCGTGGAGGAAAACAGGTCTAGAAGGGCAACTAGAAAATATATGGACCTAATTTGGGTATATGCGTAGAAACTAGGGAAGCAAATGCCAGCCAAGGGAACAACGTGACCAAAAGCATAAAGCTGTAAAGGGGCGTCATTGTAGTCTGGGCAGCTTGTCCAGAGTAGCTAATGTGTGGTAGGATGCATGGGAGAAGAGCAGAGTAAGGGATGAAGCTGAAAAGGGACTTTGCCCTTCTCCAGAATTGGAACTCTATTCTATAGGTTGTAGAAGCCCTTGGAGGCTTTTGAGAAGCATGGCATAATCATATCTGATTTAGAAAGAATTCTCTTGTAGTAGCTAAATTATATTGAGGATATAATGAAAGGGAGAAAGCCAGAAATTGAGTCTGGTTAAGAAGCCAGTGTCCCTTCTCATATTAAAAGGTGGTTGCAAGGATGACATTAAGCAAGATCATTTCTGCATTAGACTCTTGACTGAGAGAATAGGCATTCAGTTAAATTATCTATATGATGAGAACTTTATCACAAGGCAAAAAGTGAAAATAAGGAAAATAGGCATCTTAGGCTTGTGGCCAGGCCGAGAAGAAAATTACGGAATATCTTAGCCACACAAATGAATTAGAAGGTTATGCAGAATGCAAGGTAGTTTTGAGGAATGGGCTGTTTTCTTATGCCTTTATAGCCCAGCCTGTGAGTCCCTGTTTTAGGGATCCATCATTTTGAGGCTTAGCCATTCTCTCTGTCTGCTTCTATTCTCATTACCAACTGCCCCATTTCCTGTGTATCTCACATTCACTTTGAGAGACTCTGATTAGGTTTGTTAAATGTCATTGTCCTTATTTGGACATAGCTTTCACACTGGCCAGCCTTAGAGCTGCCTGATTCAGTCAGGAGAGTCATGGGGTATAAAGGACCACTATATAAGCATTCGTTCCATGACAGGTACTATTCCTGGCTTGACATTAAATAAAATTTTTCAAACTCCTTTAAAAATGCAAGTATTATAAATGAAAGATTTAAGGGTGGTATGAGAATATCTCAGCATTGATTTCTATTAAAGTGTATAGCTTAGGAACTATTGCAAAGTAAGTGCTCAATAAGTATTAATGATAACAATGATGTTATTATTAAGTAAAGGAATATTTCTGGGCAATAAAAAAAACAAGACGACGATGACTATGAAAAGATTCCAGGCAAATGACAGGACTTGATGTGAAATGATGGCAGTGGGAATGGGAGAGAAACAAAGTGGATGTAAAGATGAGAAGTTGCTATTTAAGGAGACTGAGAACTTGAGTGATACTATTAATTTACACACTAGACACTGACCTGTTTTAGGGAAGGTTATGAGGCTTATTTGAGACACTTTGATTTTGAAGGCCACTAAGCTATCTGTGTAGAAATATTCAGAAAGGAGTAAGAAGTCCTCGTCTGAAAATTTGGAGTAAGGTTAGGACTAGATTAAATTATCCATAATCTCCTTCACTACTCATTGAAAGAAGTCCTAATAGTAAAAATCCAGATTTCTATCCATGATCATATAGGTTTTATAGCAGGCTTTTATCAGTTATATATTTTTCAGTTGGATAAAATTAGCAGCTTACTTTCAAAACAAAATCATATGGACTCAGAAACCCCTCATACCTTGGCTGGTTTGGCTCAGTGGATAAAGATCAGCCTGAGGACTGAAGGGTCACAGGTTCAATTCCAGTCAAGGCCTGTACCTCGGTTGCAGGCTCAGTCCCCCGCCTGGTTGGGGTTGTGTGGGAGGCAACCAATCAATGTGTCTCTCTCAAATTGATATTTCTTTCTCTATGTCTCTCTCCCTTCCCTTCCACTCTCTCTAGAAATCAGTGGGAAAATATCCTCGGGTGAGGATTAACAAAAAAAGAAGCCCATCATAGCCTAAATAATCCTTATGTTTCTTTAAATGCATTTGATTTCTTTCTTAGAAAATGGTTTTGTGTGACTTTTATATCCTTATGAGAGATTTGATCATTTTTTCATCAGGAAAGCAACTGGCAGAGTTGTATGGCTAAAAGCTAGTACACCTGTCAGCAACGCAACCAACATTAAAACATAAAATAATTGCTTATTTCAAAATACTGGAATTGGGAAATTAGAGCTGGAAAAGACGTAGATTTTAACCTCTTTTTATGGATGAGAAAAATTAAGAGCCAGAAAGTATACGTAACTTTCCTAAGTTCACATAGCTGTTTATACCAAAAGGAAAATGCTCTCATTTAAAGAAAAAAGGTGATATCACAGAACTTCTAAACTCACTTCTAGTTGTCTTGACAATACATTTTCCTTATTTACAGTGTCAAGTACTCATCCCTGGTGGCACTTGCCTTCATAATTCGCCCCACAGCAGTCATTCCATGGATACCTTTGCTCTTCAGACATTTCTGGCAAGCACAGAGAAAGCTTGATCTTATTCTACATCAGTTTTTACCTGTTGGGTAAGTATTGCTGCAATCCATCTATTAATTTTAATAACCTGCAAATTATATATTGCAAATAAGATTTTATATCTTTGAGTCAATTATGATATCTTCTAATGTCAATGAGAATTGTCAGACCAAGGAAACAGAATTATTTCCAAATTTATATTGTAATACTTAATGATTCTGATTAACTATAAGTATTTTAATTTGCTTAAACGAATAAGAATCTTTGCAATTTTTCTTAGAACTTTCCTGTACTTTATTTCCTAAATATTTCTCAGATACATTTCAGGAGATACTTGATTCTTTTACATTTGTTCAGAGCTGTGTGATTTATAATGGCATTCTCATATTACCTCATAATTTTCAAAATTCTTAGGTCTAGGCAAGTGTAGGTGTTTTTGTTTTGTGGAAGAAACACGGGGTTGGCAAATTAAAAATGCATTAACCAGCCCTCGCCGGTTTGGCTTAGTGGATAGAGCATCGGCCTGCGGACTGGAGTCCTGGGTTCAATTCCAGTCAAGGCTCAATCCCCAGCCCTGGTTGGGCGTGTGAGGGAGGCACCCAAGCGATGTTTCTCTCTCCCTCCCCTTCCACTCTCTCTAAAACTCAATGGAAAAAATATTCTCAGGTGATAATTAACAACAGAAAGTTAGGATAGTAGTCAGCCTTTGGGATGGGAGTGGAGATTGACTGGTTGGAGGGATGAGGGGGCCTACTGATGCTCTGTATTTTGCTCTCTATGACAGTTACACAGTCGTGTTCATATAGAGATGGCTCACAAAGCCTTATTCTCATAGTGTACTTTTCTGTATATACGTTTGTAGTAGGCAGCCTCTGAGATTGCCCCCACTAATCCCATCCTGATATTAATGCTCTTGTATAACACCCTTGTCTTGAGCAGGAGGTAGACATTTTGACTTAATTCTAACAAACAGAAATGGCAGAAGGGTGTCCCTTCCACGATTGGGTTGTAAATATTGACTGTGGCTTCCATCTTGGGTACCCGTCTCACTCTCTCAGCTGGCTCATGCTGGGGGAAGCCACTTGAGGCAGTCTTAAGGAGGGGCGTCACATGTGGGAGCCTGAGCTCTGCCAGCAACCATATGAGTGAGCTTGGAAGCAAATCTCTCCATTAACCCCCATCAAGCCTTTAGATGAAATTATACCCCTAGCCAACACCTTGAGCCAGAAGCACCCAGCTAAGCTGTACCTGGCTGGATTCTTGACTCAAAGAAACTGTGAGATAATAAATGTTCATAGTTTTAAGTTGCCAAGTTTTGGGGTAACTTGTTATTCAGCAGTAGATCATGCAGTGTTTATTACTTTTTAAAACTTTGTTTAGCCGAAACCGGTTTGGCTCAGTGGGTAGAGCGTCGGCCTGCGGAATGAAAGGTCCCAGGTTCGATTCCGGTCAAGGGCATGTACCTTGGTTTCGGGCACATCCCCAGTAGGAGATGTGCAGGAGGCAGTTGATCGATGTTTCTCTCATCGATGTTTCTAACTCTCTTATCTCTCTCCCTTCCTCTCTGTAAAAAATCAATAAAATATATATTTAAAAAAACGTTGTTTAAATGCAGATTATGTAATGAAAGATCTTTGAAAATGTGTAAATCCATATTCAGTATGTGAAACTAAAGCATTTTTAAAGTGGTTTTTTGGAAATGGCCTTGATGTATGGCATTTGCAAAGCCATATGCCAATATGGATTTTCAGTGAGTTCAGAATATTAATCATCCCTTTTGTTTTTCAGATTTGTCACTTTGAGTTGGTCTCTGATAATTGATCGTATATTTTTTGGTCAAGTAAGTCAAATATATTAAACTATTTTCATTCTAACCATTTATTACACTAAAAGTTCAACCTGATTTTTTAATTCATGAATATTTGGGAACATTTAAATGATATGGATTACATTAAAAAAAAAAAAGACTGCTAGCATATACCTTTGGTTCAATTTGTTATACTTTCTATATAACAGAATTATGTATTCCTAATTGAAGTTCAAGAGAGTCCAAGGTATTTTTGTCAGGTCTGTAGCAATAAAAGCTTGATTTATTAAAATTATTTTAGTTGTCAAGGTAATCATTCAAAATTCAAATTAACCAGAATATTCTTCAAGCATTTGGTTTGACATTTTAATCTCACGACTGTAGGTTTTTTCTAAGTTCCCTGTTTTTAAGTCACTTCTGGGCTCTGGAATTAGATTGCCACAGTTTGAAGCCTAGTGCCCTCATTAGCCTTGTGAACTTGGACAAGCAGTGTGAGCGAGCTTGGAAGCAAACCACCTTTCTTACTAGTTTCTTTATCTGGAAATAATTGTGGTCCCTGTCTCATAACATTGGAAGATTAAATGAGATACTGCATGTATGATGCTTATAATGGGGCCTGACACAAGTGAGCACCTAATGTTAGCTGTTATTTTCTGCTTTGTGCCGTAATTCCACTTGTAATATTTTCAAAGCTTTATCTTACTAGGTAATATGTGATGTAAGGTACTAGAATAAAATTTTTAATGTGGGTACCCCATATATACACTCTGATAAAAAATAAATTTTATAAAGTACTTTTGTTGGTGTTAATCCTCACCCAAGGATATTTTTCCATTGATTATTAGAGTGGAAGGGAGGGGGAGAGACACACAGAGAGAAACATTGATGTGAGAGAGACATGTAGATTGGTTGCCTTCCGCACTCGCCTGGCCTGGGATTGAACCTGCAACCCAGGCACTGCCCTTCAGTCCATGGGCCAACACTCTGTCCACTGGCCAAACTGGCTAGGGTGATAAAAATTATTTTTAAGTGTTCTCTTTAGCTTTAATTCTATGTAAAAATTACACTGTCAAAATTGGAATATTTCATACTTTCTTGAATCTCAGAAACCTAGTATTTTACAAATGAACAAAGAACACACTAATAACATAAAAAAATGCTTTCATATGGTCATTAATAAAATTATTAGTGTAAACTATTGTTTGGTTTTTAGATCATTCCTGATTTAATGTCAAGATTCTTCCAGATACCCTAATGCCAAAGATTCAAACTTGGCACTAACACATTTCTGTTTCTCTTTCCTTCAACTATGCCAGTGGACTCTGGTTCAATATAATTTTTTGAAATTTAACGTGCTGCAGAATTTGGGGACATTTTATGGTTCTCATCCATGGCATTGGTACTTCAGTCAAGGATTTCCAGTTGTTTTGGGTACTCACCTACCCTTCTTTATTCATGGCTGCTTTCTAGCCCCAAAGAGGTACCGGATACTTTTGGTGACTGTACTGTGGACACTTCTGATTTATAGGTAAGATTTTATTTATTCAAATAGTTAATTTTGATGATGTTACCAAGGAATTAAATTCTTCAAGAAGTAAACTGTTATCTTTTAGAGACGTATTAACTATTAGGGTTTGGTAATTGGGATTATTTAGCAGAAAAGGTAGTAATTATGTTGGACTCAGAATGAATACTTCTGATATGTATAGTTTACTTAAGAATTATGTTCAACTTTTAAGAAGCTGAACAAAGTTCATTTGCTCTTAGAAATACTAAAATTTTAAATATTAAAGGACCAGAAAAATAATATTTTAAAATGAAAATGTATGCATCTTTCTTCCAAATTTGAGTAATGACTTGGATTGGTAATAGAAATCCCTTTTTTAGAATGTAATTGTACTTTAGACATTGACATCAAATGTTAGGATTACTTTTAACACATCATCACCTTTTAAGTAAAAAAAAACAAGATTCCTGAAGCATGAAATTCAGTCTCAGTACTTAGAACAGGTCATGTTAATTATATTCCATTTTAAATACATAAGTTTCTCAAAGTATTGTGTGATATGAGGAAATATTTTAATTTTTTTTTTTTATTATAGCATGTTGAGCCACAAAGAATTCAGGTTTATCTATCCAGTTTTACCATTCTGTATGGTGTTCTGTGGTAAGTATTTTTGTTCAATATAGAAAAAAATTACTTATATAGAAGTAGGTAAAAGACAGTAAGCTCTCATTAAAGCTCATTAAACTATAAAATATTTTCAACGAGGCTGAGAATTGCTTATTACAAAATAATTATATTTCTGCAGTATTCTTTCTGCAGCCTAAATATCCCTTTTCCTGTGTCCTGTAAAGTGAGATAAAATCTTAAGGACTCAATATCCAAGTCATAAAGATCCAATATCCTTCTGGTGGTGATATTCCTGGCTGTTAGAAATCTTTCACTAAAAAAGTGATGGAATAATATGTCTATTTTAGAGTAGCTACTTTCAGTTTATAGTTAAAACTACTAAGTTCTTTGTTTCATAAATTAAAATATATTTATAGCTGTTGAAACTAGTTTTTAATGCTTTTGATGCTTTAACACTCACTCTAATGCATATGTAATTTTAAAAGTGGTTCCCACCTAATTTTTTTGGCCCTTTCTCCATTTTTTCCAGTAGGTTATTTGCAATATTTTTTTACATGTGACTTCTAAAGTTTTATATCATTCAGCTCTGGAAAACATGAATTTTCATATTAGTTGGCTTGGAAAAATTATGATTTGAAATTTTGCTAACTTTACATTTAATTCAGAATAAATGACTGTCGACTTCCTTCAAATATTACCAAAAATCACTGGACTGGGGAGGGATGAGATGAGTAATCAACAGGGACTAGAGGTAGGGCAAATACTGTCTAGAGAAGTTAATACTGTCAATCTTTTTACTTAAAAAAAGAACTCCAAAGAACGCACAGACTTAAAGAGCCTTCTTTGACCGAGTAAATATCTCCTACAGATCTCAGATGCACTCTCTTCAATTTAAGTATTAAAAAACACTCTATATATCTGGAGTACTGAAACCAGAGTTAATTTTTGTCATTACTTTTTTTTTAATTCTCACCTGAGGACATGTTCATTGATTTTTTAGAGAGATGGGAAGGAGGGGGGGGAGGCATGGATATGAAAAGGTGACATCAATCTGCTCCCTCCTGCACACACCCTGACCTGGGGCTGCGATGGTACCCCCAACCTAGGTATGTGTCCTTACTTGGAGTCGAACCTCCGACTTTTCAGTGTATGGGATGATGCTCCAACCAAGCCACCCGGCCAGGGCTCTATCATTACTTTATGGTCTTGCTTTATATACAATGCAGGCACATATAAAAATATAGTTACCTAACTATATGCCAACTCTTTTAAGAATAGTGGGCCCATTTACCATAGCAAATTTGTTCATGAATCACTATTCATATTTTCTTTTTTTAAAGTTTCAGTTATAGTTAAATCAAGCTTGGTTTCTGCCTGGGTATTGTCAGACTATTGGAAGACAAATGTGTTTGTTGTTTAGTTTGGTTAATTTAGGAAGTTGTTTTAGTTTTCTTTTTATAATCTGAGTCTTTCCAGCATTTCACTTGTGTATCTTTAAGGAAAGACTGAGTTTTCTGAACCTCTTTCCCAGTCCAAAAGATGTCATCTTTAAAGTGTTAGGATCCCAGTAAATTCTTGTTCTCAGGCCCAAAGACTTAGATAAAATGCTGGTGAGGACTGAGCTTTCCTTGTAATGGACAAGAATTAGACTTTCTTCCATACTATGTCCACTCAGAAGGATCCCTAAAGGACTGAGATACACCAAAACCCCTGACCTCCTCACAGGATATGATCTTTTCCTGCAGACACATACCTAAGGCTTTCGAGTGAGCCAAACGATTCTGATTCTTAGAAGACTCATACTTCCATTAAGAGTTAAAACTCTTAAATGCCAACAGGTCCCAACAATAGGACCAATGAAGTAGTGAACTCACCTTGACAGGAGTTTTTGGAACGGTGTCAGACAACAGTTCTCTTTGGAGTTCTTGATGTTTGAGTCTTTTGAAACTACCTGAAATCTTGAGTTACACTACTTCAGATATGTTTTATTCTATTCTTTTGTGACCTATTTTGTGTGTTTTTTGTTAATCCTTACCTTAAGATATTTTTTCACTGATTTTTTAGAGTGGGAGGGGGAGAGACAGAGAAACATCTTTGTGACCATGGCCAGGGATTGAGCCTGCAACCAAGGTACATGCCCTTGACCAGGTCGAACCTAGGCCCCTTTAGTCCTCAGTCTAACGCTCGTCCACTGAGCCAAACTGGCCAGAGCCTGTGCTATTTTAACCTGATTTATATAAACATGACACCTCTGTTGGCAATTGCTGTATAACAAGCCACCTTAAAATTTAGTGGCTTAGCCCTACTGGTGTGGCTCAGTGGTTGAGAGTCGATCCATGAACCAGGAGGTCACAGTTCGATTCCCGATCAGGACACATGCCTGGGTTGTGGGCTTGATCCTCAGTAAGGTGAGTGCAAAAGGCAGCTGATCAATGATTCTCTCATCACCAAAAGGTTGTCAGTTGATTCCTGGTCAGAGCATGTCTGGGTTGCAGGCTTGATCCCCAATAGAGGGCGCGCAGGAGGCAGCTGATCGATGTTTCACTCTCACATCATATCATGGTTTCCCTCCCTCCCTCTCTCTCTAAAAATATCTGGGGAAAAAAATAGTGGCTTAAAGCTCCATTTATTTTTACTTACTATACTAGTAGTTCAGCTGGGCAGTTCTCGTTTTCTTCTCTAGTTTGAGTTTCCCTCAGTCCTATCCAAAAATGACTCAAGCCTGGAAAACATATCTGTAATTGCCTCTGATCCTTACTGACCTGTATAACCTTGTGCCTCAGTTTCCTTTCCTTAAAATAAAGTTGCCACTAGTCTAATAGCACTGAAATTCTTAGACTGAACCTGTCATTTGTGCTGGTGTTTCCAGCACCTGCTATCCATGCTGGGCTGGGTGTCTGTTTAACGTTTTCACCAGAGTAGCCAGTGCAGACTTGCTTGTCTCTTATTAGGCCACTTTTTTTCCATATGCTAATTTTTTTAATCAAAATTATGTAAGTGCATTGTTTCAAAGCCATAACAAAGCATTTTTTTTAAATGCTTCTACTGCCCTCTCTCCCATTTCCCCTCACCCGAGGCAGTTGCTTTTAGGTGGTTATTTTGTCATTTATCTCTAAATAAAATGCTAATAACACCCTTAAAGATCTTTGGTTTTGACTTTACCTCCCGACTTCTCACTATGGATGAAAATATAGCTTCTTTCCTTAGCAAAGTATAACATAAAATGTTGTATGCCTCCCCGTGTCCAGCACTCCATTATGGTTCTTTATGGTTCCAGGCCCATTCTCTTGTACATCCCTTTTCAGATTAAACCACCCTTTTTCTCATCCGAACACTGAAATCAAGTTGACTTACAGCTTTCCCAAGGAGTATTTAAAATGAAAACATTAACTCAGAAATATCTGTAACTGGTAGAACTTGGTAATTTTTCTAAACATTGAGTTTTCTAGTAATTCTTGCCAAAGTGAGGATGCATCCTTGCTACCCCTCAGTGTTTGATGAGATCAGTAACGTACAGCCCCAAACTTTCCCATCCTCTTCATTACAATGAACCTCCTCAGTCATTACTGAAGAATGCAGATTAACACACTGAATACCCAAAACTTAAAATGTGATTGTGTATATCAAGCTACATTATAATTGGTGATTAGGAAATATGGCTGAATTAAGAAGAAACCAATTAATGAGGCACCTTCTCATAGATTTGATTTTAGACTTTTTACCTTGGAGAGCAATCAACTGGAACATAAAAGATTTAGAATACTTTTTAAATAGTAGTCTGATGAGAGTCATTTGATAAGAACCCAGTGTGTGTGTGTGTGTATGTAAATATATATATTTATAGTCAGGTCTTTATTTAAGAATCTCATCTGCCAACTTAGCGTTTTCTACCAACACGGGGAGCAGAAACCTTCACAGGCTTCACAATCTTTTGCTTAGGTGCTGCCTTTGTGGGAGCCTTAGCAGCAGCCATTGCTGTCTTTTTAGATGCTTGCTTAGCCTTTTTTGCTTCCTTGGCAGCCCTGATAGCTTGTTCTCGCTGAGCTTTCCTAACTTTAGGCTTCTGGTTCCTCTTGGCCATTATATCAGCAAGAGATGCACCAGTGATGGCCCTCTGGAATTTGACTGCACGGCGGGTTCTTTTCTTTTGAATTTCTTCCAACTGTCCCTTCTTGTACTTTCTTCTGTAGAGGACAGTCCAGTTTATCTGCCGAGGGTTCCTCTTGGAAAGGAATGCCGACCCGCATTTTGCATTAAGAAACTGGAAAACCTTCCCGTTGGTCCTGGCATAGCGCCGCCCGTGTCCGGGGTAGATCTTGTACCCACTGAAGCTGCAGAGCTCGACCTTCATGGCTGCGGCCGCCAGAGAGCAGGAAAGAGGGTGAAAAGCCCCAGTGTATTTTTAATTATAAAAATACTCATGGTACAAAAAATGATAAACCATCAGGGTCATCATCTAATCATCTGGCCCCATCCCCCAGAAATAACTATCAATTTCTTATAAATTCTTCCAGAAATGTTCTACATACCTACTTTAAATTATTTTGGTAGGCTCAGATAACAGGAGAAAATTAAGTATTCTGGGATGCTATTTAGCATTGAGTTAGCCACTATGTGAAATGAAGAGGCCTGTATTTTGACAGGTAATTCACATGGTTCATACTATGTCTTTGTTCTACTGGAAATTACATGAGGCTGGAAGATTTCTGTAAGTGGCTTTATAGGACAGAAAGAAAACGTGTGTTCCCAGAATCTTCAGTTATTGGAAGCAGGGATTTATATTTCAATTTAGGTAATGCTTACATTACAGAGTGATGACGAACTTTGTGAAGCTAGCTCATTTTAGTGACAACTGCATCTCCTCCTTACATGTATGTACAATTAAGTAGACTTACTGATGGTAGCTATTAAGATCTTGTTAATTACCTCTTTTAAATATTAAAGAAGCCATACTATGTCCCTATAAGAAAACCATGGATTCTGAGCTGCTCTTGTGACTCAGTTTAGCATTCAAGCTATTATCTTTCCTACTCTCCCTTTAGCAACATGGGGATGGTTTGAAGACCCTCAGTCATATTAGACTATTCTTTCTCTTCCTAAAGCTTTATTATTTCTCCAAATATGGAAATTCATTTCTCACTGAAAGGATCCATCATTCTAAAGTGAGCTAGCCTCAGAAAGTGAAATCACCACCAAGTAATATAAGCATGACCTAACTTAGAAGACCCCCTTCAATACTTAAGAAGCTGGGAATGCAAGCACATTATCTTCCTGCATTCGCTGCAGAATGCTATTTTTACCACTTGTATTCACCACCTTGTATTCTACTTTGTACCAGTTGCCCAAGCTACTGTATCCCTAATCCCATAGTTTTTGATAACACTTTTAATGATCATAGTGAACAAATTGTTATGAGTGAACCACTTTAGAGGCCCATGGTACACTTATTTGAACATTCCTGAGAGCAAGTAAGGCTGTGAAATTTGAGCCCACTAAGTAGAAAGCACATCACTTTCAAGTTGTATTCAATAGTCTGCTCTATCTGTGGCTGGAATTATTACAGATGGCAGAACTTTTGGAACCCTATTTCCATTGTAACAAAGATAGTTCTAGTTCTCATCCTCGTTAGTAGGTTCCTCATTTTACCATTTCAAACATCTTACAAATTTGAGTTTTAAATGAAGGTTTGGGGGTTCTTCATCTGGCTATGTTTTTTATCACCATTCTTCGTAATGTTCTTTGGATAATCGCAGAGTTATTTCAAACAGTACTAGGTGAAATGGATGTGATAGTCCAACTACTGAATGAAATGAACCAGAAGTAATGTTATCTAAAATATTCACAGAACAACATTGAGCACTTAAGATTTTTTGCCCAACTTTGATTTCATCAATCCTTCCTAGGCCACCTTTGTTAGTTGTAGTTAAATGGAAACAGCTCTAAATTAATTTTATTCATGTTCAGGATAAGACCGCTGATAGCAGTCAGCTAGGTAATGGTCATAGAAAACTGTGTGTTGGCCCCAGTGAGAATTAGTGCTAAAATTTCAGGCAGGCCACAGACTGGATCCTGGATACCCAAATTCCAAAACAACTATTATCTATTCTGTGAAGACAATGTATGTGGAGTATGAAACCTAATGTCAAGGAACTTTACTAATAAGATTATTCTTTTTGCCCTAGCCGGTTTGGCTTAGTGGATAGAGCATCGGCCTGCGGACTGAAGGGTCCCAGGTTCGATTCTGGTCAAGGGCACACCCAGTAGGGGGCATGCAGGAGGCAACCGATCAATGATTCTAATCATTGATGTTTCTATCTCTCCCTCTCCTCTCCTCTCTGAAATCAATAAAAATATATTACAAAAAAAAGATTATTCTTTTCTAGTGCAATGGCCTGTTCTTTGATGGTATTTTCAACAGATTCTAATGTGCTCATTATCAGTGGCTGTTGCTAGAGAGGACTGTGGGAGGGAGACAGGGCCTTTTAATTTATCCTTGTTTGTTCTACCAAGTTTTTTTGTCACATAAAAAAAAGGGAAATTGGCCCACCCAGCATGGTTCAGTGGTTTAGTGCAGACCTATGAACCAGAAGGCTGCGGTTCCGGTCAGGGCACGTGCCCAGGTTGTGGGCTCAGTCCCCAGTAGGGGGCATGCAGAAGGCAGCTGATCAATGATTCTATTTACTTAGCAACTACTATGTACCAGGACAGGCACCGGACAGACCTTTTTTACTAATACTTGAAAAAGGTACCATTATCCCATTTGCAGATGGAGAAACTAATGCTCAGCAAAGTAAAGCAATTTGTGCCAGAGTCAGAATTCAAATCTGGGTCTGCTGGACACTCTGGCCATAATTTTTCAATTATATTTCAATTCCTTTTTCTATAAAAAGGTTAAGACCGAGATCACAAAGGACAATGACAGTGAATTGTCAATTATAAAGGTGACCTACTGGTTATATATAACTTGTATGTCCATGACAGCATTACAGCTGTGCTACTTCCACAAAAGATTATAAAACATGTCATGTCTATCTTCATACAGGGTATTCACTAAACCACCTGAAAATGTGGAAGAAACCAGCTCTAAGTTTCCTGTTTTTATCAAATATGCTCCTTGCCCTCTATACTGGTTTAGTTCATCAAAGAGGTACTCTTGATGTCATGACTCATATTCAAGAACTCGGATACAACAATCTCAATAAATCTGCAGCTTCAGTATTTGTAATGATGCCTTGCCACTCTACTCCTTTTTATAGGTAATAAAAGTTGCTCCACTACATACAATCATTAAGAAAATGAAACTACTTTAAAATTCCTTTCAGGTTCTGGAATTAGGAATTTAAATTAATTGATCACTGATCAAATGATTATAAAAAATTTGAAACTCCATATTTATTCACTGAATTTTAAAAAGCATTTTGAAACTCCATATTTATTCACCGAATTTTAAAAAGCATTTATGTCAATTAAAATCATATACCACTTTTAACTTCAATATCCTTCAAATATAATATAAATTTTATATAGGTTATTTGCTGGTATTCTTAGTAAAAAAATTATCACTGACTTTATTCTTAGTAAAAAAATTATCACTGACTTTATCACAAATCTTTGTGATACATATATCTTATATATATATATATAATTTTAATCTCAAAACACTGGCTTCTAGTCCAGATTTACTATGGACGACTGTCCTGGTCTTAAACCAGTCAGTCTTTTTAAACTCTGGGTATCAGTTGTCTCACCTATAAAAGTTAGCGAATTCGATTAGATGATACCCTAATTCTTGAATTAGTGTTTCTGGGAATATAACAATAACATTGTCTTAACTCTGCAGGACATTTAAAGACATACGTTTAGCCCAATGCGTGTTATTTCAGGAAGGTGTACTAGTTACTAATTGCCTAATTGTACAAGGGCAAACAGCTTTTCTGCAGGAAATTCTACACCTATTTAACTTAATCTTAATCTGGCTTTAAACAATCTTAAATTAATTTTCCATGTGCACAGTCAACTTATCAATGTTATCTTTTTAAGGTAATTTATCATTTTTTAATACTCTACTTAAGTCAAGCATTTATACACAATTTGGAAAATTAGGATTACCTAGCAAAAGTGCACAGGTTAGATGTAAGACCCAAATATCCCTTCAACTTCAGCTTCCCCTACTATATAAGGAAGACTAAAGGTGAAAGAGGGACATTCACCGCCCTTCCTGCTCACATTAGTGGCAACACTGCAGAGAACAGGCATTCTAGAGATACCAAGTTGCTTTCCACACATAGTTGCGATGTCTGATGTCATCAAGTTCTCATCAGAGGCTTTTTCAAAGTACACAATGCAGTAAAAAAACTCTGATGTCTACTTTGGAATATAAGGCTGCCAGCTGTTTCTGCTTTGCCCATCTTCTCCAAAATTATAAGAGTCATGAAGTATTAGGTCTTGTGTGAATTTACTTTGTATGCATTTCATAGATAAAATAAACCTCTATCATATATTTATTTTTATTAATTTTTCCTAAGGCAAAGTTATAAACCTGCTTTTTGCATGGTTCAAGTAATTGGCATTAACTTGTCATAATTCATCAGTCCATCTTCTTTATACATTCTCTAGTCTTTCTAGGCCACAGTAAAACCATTACTTATTTGGATGTTAATCAGTGAACATACATTGCTCTCTAATACTAACTCTTACAAAGGTGCTACTGCACAGGTACATGGTGTGAAAATCATATTCTCCAACTTTGAGAAAACTGCATTAAAGGCTTGCTTCTTCACCTAAATTGGAACCCAATATAGATTCAGATTTCACATTTTGTTATGTAAACACGATATATCTTAAGAGCAATTTGAAAACTTCCACAATAACTTTCTTTTCATAGCCATGTCCACCACCCACTTCCGATGAGATTTCTCCAGTGTCCCCCAGACCTAACTGGAAAAAGTCAGTATCTTGATGAAGCAGATGTATTTTATCAAAATCCCTTAAGCTGGTTGTATAAAGAGTTTCACAACAATTCAACGTTGCCTACTTACTTGATCATTTTCAACGTTTTGGAAGAGGTAAGAAAACATGAAAAAAGGGAAAAACAGTATTTTTATTTCACCTGAAGTTTAGTAAACGCTCACGGAATTAGACAATATAATTTTTATGGTCCTTTTTTAACCCCTATAATTTTGTAATTGGCCTTTTCCCTAGACAAAATCAGCTCCAGTTCTATGTATATCAAGGTATATACATTACTTACCATGACTTAAGAAACTGCATTGTTTTATTAAGTAGTACAGGCGCAAATCAGAATAAGTCATTCTAAAATTCTTGAAACAGTACTGAGCAAAATGTAGTCTTTATTTACTTAAACATTTATTTCTAGGAAATCAGTGCTTTCCTAATTTCAAGAAACTATGAGAGAACTGCTATTTTCTTCCACACTCACTTGCCAGAGGGTCGAACCGGAAGTCACATATACATCTATGAACGGAAGTTAAAAGGGAAACTCTATAGAAGATGAAATTCTGAACTGTTTTTAGATCTTTCCCAGAGAAAAAGACACTGCTCGGTAAAAATATTCAGATGCTGCTTAAATACACTAGTAAACTCCGGGTAAGATTCATGGAACTAGCAAAACACCTCTGAACTGCTCTACCAAATATTACTACTGAGGAAATGTACGAAAATTATCACAAAATATAAAATTGTATTAATATAATGCCCAGATTTTAAATAAAGACCTTTAGTTTTCCTCATGTTGTAGTTTTATTGTTTCTTCCACAATATTCAGATGTGCAAGAAATTTCACAAGAGAACAAGTCAGCAAGCTCTTAAGAAGGCAGCAAATTCTTCACAAGTCTACGGGCTCTTGAACCCACAAAAAGACAAGAAGCAAGAGTAAAATTATAAAATGTTAAAGAAGAAATTTCATCACAATGTACTTTTTTCAAGCTCAACTGCAAATTTCACACAAATATCAGTGTTAATTACACTTTGTCATGTATGACTTGAGCTTGCTTTAAGCTCATACACTGAAAGGAAGTCTCATTTCATGCACAGAACCTGTTGCATGCCTGGCTTCCTTAACAGAACTATAGTTGAACATTTCCAGTGCCAAAAAATATTCAGCAAAGCTACACAGGAAAATGCAGGTTAGTAAGCTTTTGCTTGATGCTTCTGAGTAATATAAAGTCATCAAACAGATACTTAGAAATGATAAAAAGACATTATCTTGATCATTTCATCCTAGTTTCAACACAAACATTGTAGAAAGCATCCGTATTTGCTAGTTTTCTAATTTAACTTAATCCTGATGGTCAATATTTAGGATCAAAAGGTAACTGCCCCAATTCTATTTCGACATTTGCCATGTGTCTTCCATTAGTGCGATCATATTTATGCCATTTACCTTCCCTCTTATAAGGTTGTGGCTGAGGATGCTTCTGCTCTTGTTTTCGATGTCTGGAGTTTTCAATATTTACCGTACGTTTCTTTTTATCTGGCCGACTGAAAGCAGTAAACACATTTTTCATCTATGTTAGAGTTAAATTTATTTAAACAAAAAACAATTTAAATGTTTTTCTCCACTAATCTATTATCTGAACACTGAGAAAGGGTGTTAATCTGAAGTATAATCATAGTATAACCATGCCAGAAAGATTCAGTCTACTTTTATCCTATAGAAAAAAGACCAAAAAAAAAAAAAAAAACCACCCCAGAAATGTGACAATAAAATAATGAGATGTTTCCACTATTTTTCTTCCTTTCCTGAAAAAAATCAAGCCCTCCCCATTGGCTTCATCCCTCAGCAGAATTATGTTTATATACTACTATCACTTACAAAACAAAATCTCTTTTCCCTCTTACAGCTCAAGTTAACCCCTGTTTACAGTTACTGGTTTCCTCTCTATAATCAGGCTCTGTCACTACTCAACCAGTCCATAATGCCACCAGGCTTCTGTCACTACTTCCCTTGAAACAGTGCATAATGCCATCCATGGCCACTCAATTCCCCATCCAAGAAATCTAGTCCTTTTTTTTTAAAGCGTTAACACACATATATTCTTTTTACTTGAGATCATCTTTGGATGTTCATGATGCCACTCTCTGGTCTTGTCATTCTCAGCCTTCTTTTCCTACAACCCCTCATACGTTGGTGTTCCCCAGGAGTCTGATAAATACTTCCAGCCTAGACTACACACACACAGTCTGGGCTAGACTAATGGCCAATTAATCCTCTCCTTTGGATGGCAATAGGTTCCTCCAAGCACAACTCATTTCCAATTCCCCTTACTCAAAACCTTAACCCAGAAATCTGGAAATTGTTGCTTTCTACTTCACAAGAAACACCACTAATTTTACTATGTATTACTCAAATATCTCCCCCTTTCCGTTCATGTCTGTATTGTTTTAAAAACCACCTTAGCTTCATCCTTTCCAATAAATCCCACAGGCTACTGCCAGTGATCCAAAACGCCATAAAGCACATCCTTGAGCATAAAATGTGGCTCTTCATGTGAGCTAAATATTGTCTCTGTTCATACCCCAGCACTATCTTGCCTCCCTAAAGTGGCATGTCGTCACATCTCCAAATACCTATCTGCTTGGCAAATTCATTTCTCCTTCAAAAGTCAGTTTTAAAAAGTTTAGTTACTGACTCTCTCAAAAGCTTGTGAGCTCCTTCACAGCAAGAATTGTTCATTTGTTTCCTCAGTGCAGCCTCACAGCGCTTTACTCAGTATAAGCACTAGATATTCACTGAATGACTAATGACACCAGTCTCATTATTTTACAGACACATTACTTTTATTCAGATATATAGGGTGTCCCCCAAAAATGTATACACACTTTGAATGATTATAAAGATGGTGTTTATTAATATACAGTTCATTTTAAAAATTTAAAAGAATTTACAGAAATGAATGGTTTTTGTCAATGCCTGTTTTCAAACTGATGACCATTCTGGTCCAGGCACTGCTGGTAACTCGAAGCAATGGAAAAGCAAACATCAAGAATCATTTTGTTCGCTATTTGTGTGCCCTCAATTCATCTGTTTTGTGCCGTAAACTTTATCTTTTATGTATCCTCATAAAAAAAGCCTACTGGATAAATTTTATTTGTTCAAAGCTTAGTCTGGCTAAAAAGAAAGAAACATCAACTGAGCTATCAGCTGTTAAAGTATGTATACATGTTTTTTGGGACACTGTATAACTATCTCAAATGTAAAAAATAAAGCTAACATTTGAAGATTAGTCAAGTTTTATATTATTGAATATAAAGGTGATAAGCAAAAGATAGTTATTTTTAGAAGTTATGTACAAAGCACACACATTAGAACTTGTGGCTTGTCAAGTTTGCTTCTTTAATCATATCACTACAATAATTCTGTAATAAGTGTATTAAATATTGTAATTTAGTTGGCAAATGGAATAGACCAATGAAAATAAGTGGGACATCCAAATCATTACATGTGAGCCCTTCTGACTTCAGAATTTAATTTGAATTGTTCACTCCTAGCTTCCCCAAAGTGAGTAAATAAAAGATTAAAGGAAAATTTCACTTAAGGTGATTACCTTTTCATATACACTAAAATGAAAAGAAACAAAATAAGCTAATGAAACTATTTGCTTAAGTCAAACTGATTATATGAAATTTTCAGTTTGTAATAGCTATTAACTTGAAATTATATCTTTCAATTTAATTTATTCTAAATTCTCTGGCAATAAAGTACTTTTACAAATAGCACTATTTTTTTGTATAAGTACTTTACAAATAGTAACATCCAAGAAACTTATCAAATAATAAAATGCTATCCAATCTATAAATGTTAAAAACTATTATAATAACATGGTGCTATGTAAACCGACCTGGGTCCATATGGAGGGGAAAAAGTGTGACCAAAGAAGTGTCTATATATATATCCATCCAACTTCTCAAACACTCCATCATTATCTACTTGATATTCCTTCATGTCTTTAAGATAATCTTTAACATCATTAACAAAGTCAGTGAAGAGCTTCTGATCATGTATAAAGATACCATGTATGAAAAACTTATTGATGAATTGATCAAGTTCTTTCCAATGATGAAAACTATCCAGTTTCTCTAATAAGTACCTTTCAATTAACTGTCTAAATTCATCTATCCTTACAGGATTGGACACTTTCATATTAAAAAGGTTAATGGATTCCTGTTGAGCACATTCAAATACACCAGAACAAGACTTTCTGAAAGAATTGTAATTTTCACTACAGCCATGTTCAGCACTGCATTTCTGTGAATTTGTATTTTTCCCAAATTCTTCAAAGTGAATTGGCTTTTCTTTCCTTCCCTCCCTTTGCATGGCAGGGCCTCGATTATTCTGGTTTTGTGTACGGGCCTTATACTGTGGATGTAAGTATTCACTAAAAACTGTTGGTTTTTTAGCTGCTCCTTCTTTTGTACCACCAAATCTTTTATTGCCCTTTTCATCAAAGATATTCTTGGTGGTATCTTTGAAATGTCGGAAAGTGGATTTAACTGAATCTGAGAATTTTTTCAGATTTTCTTTTACAGCTTCTTTAGCCTGCTTAATTTTTTCTTTATGGTGCCTCACAAATTCTTTGGTAGAATTCTTCATGGCATCAAATGTTTCCTTAACTGAACCAAAAAATGTTTCTTTTGACTTATTTTTGGCCCTGTAGTTTCCTCTGCTCCCTTTCTTTTTTCCATCAGTTTCTTGTTTTCCATTTTGATCTTTTGCCTCAATATACAGTCTTTCCCACAAATCAGAACGCTGCTGTTCAAAGGTTAGCTTCCGTTCCAGCTCAGTGAGTCTTTCCCGTAAGATTTCTACTTCCTTTTTATCTGTCAAAACATTGGGAGAATCTGGGTTGCCATCTGACTGCCTAGAGCTTAACTGCTGAAGTTCCACCCTTAAAGCCATGGTTTTCAGTCGTTCTCTCTCCAGTTCCCTCCTTAGCATCTTTGCTTCTGCCAATAAAGTCTCCCTTTGATTGAGGATGCTGCGTGTTTTCTGCTTTTCTTCTTTCAAATACTGCTTAAGTTTCTGGTTTTCAGTACCTAATTCAGTACTTGTCCCTTTATCTTCCAATATTCTAATCTGTTCTCTTAGTTTCCTTAACTCTTCTTGTAATGAAGACAATGCTTTTTCTTCCTTCTCCAGAGATATTCTTAAATACTGATTTTCTGTATCAAGGCTCTTTTTTTGAGTTTCAAAGGACATCTTCTCTGCTTCAGTAAGGGTCCAACACTTTGCAAGGTTTTCCTTCAATGACTAAATTTTTGTGAAAGAAAGAAAAATGGCAAGTGCTTTAAAAGCTGAATTTAAATCTTTAAGACATATAATTTTTAAAATCTTTATTGTTGAAAGTATTACAGATGCCCCTCTCTTCCCCCGTTTGCCTCCCTCCACCTGGATCCCGCCCCACCCGAGGTCTTCACCACCGTATTGTCTGTGTCCATGTGTTTCCCATAGTCATATGAAATCCTTACTGGAGAAAAGGAAATAGGCCTCCTATCTGTTGACTACAGGATTCTAATCTCTCATGAGAAGGCTCCTAGAGAGAATGTAGGCAGGACTAAAGGTTTCTGTGATCTTTGTGTGAGGGAGATTATTTTTTATAAAAAAGTGAAAGTGAGAGATGACTTCATGCTTCAAAAAATTCTCTTTATATATACTGCACTCTCAGAAGGAAAAAATTTTCAATAATCTTTATCCTATTTGAAACACCGTAGTCCTATGTAAATTAACATCTCTAAGTTCTGATAAATCATATAATTTCTCTTGCCCTTAAAAGTACAGAATGAATCTTGCTAACATTTATAACTAATTCTCCCAAATTCAAATAATCTAAAAAAA